GCACAGGGAGGGCCTACACATGAACCCCAGTGAGAGCAGTCCTTGGGGCTTCTGAGTGAGGACCTCCTGTCTGCCACAGGTGCACGGAGGGCAGAGACTCAGACTGTAATGGGGATGGGGTCCTGGGTCACCTGCTCTGCCCCCAGGAGGTAGATGGGAAATACCTGGCTCTCTCTGCGAGTTTCAACTGGGAACCATGGCAGTGGGAGTAAAGCATAGCCTCAAACCACGGGACCAGCAGCTCTTGGAGCACTTGCTCACTTGGCGCGGGGTGCACACCTCTATATTGCTAATTTGAATACAAATGTAGGATTTAACTTAGCCCAGTATCAGGAAGACTAAAAGTCTCCCATATCAGAACGAAGTAGTACAAATAAGAGTGTTTTGGGTAGCTTCAGTATATGCACTTTGGGGATCAATTAGTCAAATACATACTTGTAATAATATATTAGTGAAGTAACACAAACATATTTAAAAATCACATTCAGGTGTAGTGACAACATTGCTTTATTAAATATTCACAGTCTGGTGGATAATTTTGGCCAGATTCCTTCTGTGTATCTTCTACATTGGTGTCTTTATGAAATAACCACTTTGGGAACTCTGTAACAGTTCTCCAGGACAAGCAGTGGTTGCTGCTGTTTAAGGTATGTGCAGTTCAGATCTTTGACAACCAAGGATGATGCTGTCCCTTGGGACTCTTGTTCAGAGTCACATATATCTACCTGCATAGCACTTACACAGTTATCGCTTTATTTCTTCTATTCTCCACAACATGATTATTTATTGTATTTTATAGATATGTTTTTTATAGATTTGTTTATAAGAGTCACCATAGTGGGATTTCCTAGTGAAATCCAAGTCTGAGAACATAAGATAAGTGTATAGTTTCCTTATATTTTTACTGATTTCCTTAGGTGATCTTTATAAGATCTAAAAATAATTGACAGAAGATATTTGAGGAACAATTAGAATTTTCATTTATTTGTTTGTAACATGAAGGTATGGAGAAAATACTTTGTAACTGTAACTAGATAGTGCATTGTAAGGGCTGGAGATGTAGCTCCATGTAGAGCCCTTGCCTAGATTGCACAAGGCCCAGGGCCTGGTCCATAACAACCTCCTCACACACTCATACACCTTATATATGGGTAAACATTAGTGCAACTATGGAAGAGCGTCAATCTGAAAACAAATGCTTTCAGCTCATTCATGAGCTTGTGAGTAAAAAGCATTAATTATACCCCTTGCTTTACAGCCATTTGTTCACTAAATGCTGAATAATCTATGTCTTTTCAAAGGATTGGGAGACCCTGCTTACTTTTATGTGGATGTAATTTTTATCTTAAATGGAATAATGGTGGGATTGCTCTTCATCTATGCTGCATATCTGAGGTAAGATCTGACTGAATTTATGAGCACTGGCTGATAATTGCTGATTACATTTAAAAGAGAAGGAATGAGATGTATTGATTAATCACAGGAACATTTGTAGATTTATTTGACTTTTCAGATGCGTAACCAATACTAAATACTGGGACTGTCACTAAAAAAATACCTTAAATAAGGCCTCCCTTTTATCCTTGTGGCAATATTTTTTTAAATTAATATTTCCCTGCCAAGGTTTTAAAGCTGTGTAAAGCTATTGCATTATAGGGGTTAGCATTAGTTAACTTATTCTCATCTTATTAGTTAACTTATTCTCATCTTATTCTCTGCAAATGTGAGATTAAGGCAACTGCACACCACTTGCAGCAGGCGCTTACATTTGTTAGCCTGTCTTTCTTGATCACAGCACCACAGCTTTGTTTGCCTGAACAGTGTGCCCAGTCTCAGATGTTAAGTTGAAGTTAATTTTGACAGTCATGTGTTTTGCTCTAAGTCTTCACTGCTCCTTGGAAGAGCCATATGAGTTAGTTTTTGCCAGTGGTAAATAAAGGACCTCAGAAAGAATTTGCCTTTTCCACAAAAGGGTATATTCGGCTGTTCCTTCTCTATTCTTTCCTGCTTTTACTTTGATGTGACTCCTGGAGCCACAGCAGTCAGCCTGTGGCCATGAGGGAAAGTCTAATAAAATAGCAGACATACCTGGCCTAACATGCTACTAAACCAGCACCAACAGACACTTAAATTTTATTGTTTTGTTGACTGATATAATAAACATCCACACTGTTTAAGCCAGTTCTGTCAGATTTTTTGTTTCCTTCAGTGAAATATATTCCTAAGTAAGTCATCAGCTTTCTTTACAATGTTATCATGAAATTGAAAACATTTAAAGTTAGAAATCTAGATTTAATCATCCAACAAATAGTTACTGGATTTTCATAGACTTTATGTCAATACAGAGATTATATATGTTAGGTAAACAGTGACAACCCAGTAAAGAATACAGCCAGGCTGAATTTGAGGTTCTGGGCAGGACCTCCTGGAGCAACTCCAAAGGAGAGGCTGAGACAGGTTTATTGAGCTAAGTCTTTTATGTACAGGTTGGGAGTTAGTGGGATAGGCATAGGTGAGGTGAAGGTGGGCATGAGATTGGGGGAGTGAGAATAGCTGAGGACATGACCATAGCAACAGCTAGTGTTCTGTGCTGGATGTGCTGTGATCAGGCAGGTGGAACAGGTGTGCTGTGTCCCAGCAGAGTAAATGAGGTAGTTACAGGGTGTGGGAACCAACTGTGATTGTTCTCAGAGCTCAGGCATTAGCTCTGGGAACTCGGGCAGCTGGGGAAAAATGGGGTCAGACCTATCAATATATACTCCATGTTCTAGGGAGTTTTTGCCAGAAAAGGATGGGCATAGAATTAGTGAAATTTAGTGACATATTTAATATTGTAACAGGTATCTTATCTAGCACAGCAGGCTAAAAAAAAAATAATGCTTGGAAAGCTTGATGAAAAAAGTAAATGTTTTGAAGATCAGTTCACATTGTTATGTATGTGGAAAATAAAAACAACTGTACAGTATTTGAAACAATTAGAAAATTTATGATGTTACTTGAACACAAAAAATTAATACACAAAATTATAAATTCTATGTGCTAACATCAAAGAAAAAATAAAATTTTAAAAAGATACTATTTAGAATAGCATTAAAATCATAAAGTTCCAAAGAATAAATCTAACAAAAGATAGATATAACCTTCATGAGAAAACAGTTAAAGGTTTATTGAGATGCATTTAAGAAAATCAAAATAAATGGAGAGCTATACTATGTAAATGGGCTGGAAGATGACAGTTATCCCAAATTGATTCACATATGCTTTACCAACCAACATTAAGTCATAATTTTGTTGACCTCTATGAGCTAATTTTAAAGTTATTTGGAAATGTAAAAGGCCAGATATAATTAGAACATTTTTGGGAAAGATAAAACTTTCCTTGTCAATTATTTCTGCATCATAATGCTAATGTAAATAAGACAACATGCTAGAGAAATAGATCATAGGAATGGAGTGGAGGCCAGACACAAAAAGTACATTTAAAGACCCTTGGTGTAGGGTAGAGCAAATATTGCAGGCTGGTGGGTAAGGATAATCTTTTCATAAATGGTGTTGGACCTGTATATGGACAATCCCAGAGTCAAGATAACGGCTGTCTCAGGAGGGTCCAGTAGGGACCTAGGGTGTAACCATTTCTGTATTTCAGTTACTTATATAGTGGCTACATGGGTGTTCAATTCATAACGGTTCTATAGACAAGAGATTTTTATATACTTCTCTATGTGCCATATTGGAAAACTTTGGAAGGATAGCTTTGGGATAAGTTTTGTTAGGCTTAAGTGTTGTTTTTTGAAGATAGTTTGTACTCATTTCTTTTTTTAATGTGGATAACATTATACAGCTGTGACTAAACCTTTTAAATCAATATTTTTAGCTAGGAGGGCTACCAAGAGTGTAGGCCTACTCTAAACTGGCTACACAGTTTTGGAATGTCAGAATCTGACATTATCTACTAGTCTCCAGTCTTCAAGAAGGTTATGTGGATGTAACCATTATGAACTATAAAAATGTCACCAAAACTGTGAGGAGATTGGAAACTAAAGTATTTGTGAAACAAAAGAACTAGAAATTTGGAGCACTATGTTGGAATGTAGGCTCTCTGTTTTTGTTCCTGGGGTGAATAACTGTAAAATGTTAATGTGCACCTTGAACTTGATTAAATCTAGAATGAATCCATATCTTTTCCATTCTCCTGATCGGTACATGGAATTGTAGAAGGCTGTCATATCTTACAAGTTAGTACCACAGTCAGTGCTCCTGTTATCCAGGAGTATTATTATTAGCAGCCAGTATTATTATTAGCATTTTGGGGGTTGCCAGGTGTTTCAGTTCATCCACATGTTCACAGTTTCCGTGTACACAGCCTGTCCCTGATTATCACACCTTCTTTCTTTCAATTTCCTCCTTCTGATGTAGATCCCTTGAATTTCCTTTAGCGAGAGTCTGTTTACGATCACCCACTTCCCAGGCACTTTGCTCTGCTTATATTTTCTTTAACTCCTTCCTTCCTTCCTTCGTTCATTCGTCCACCCAATACTTACTGTCTTCCAAATGTGGAGCTAGGGATTGGATGTGGTGACCACACACAGCCACAAGAAGGCAGCTGTGACTGCCTCTTGTTGTCTGATGGTTATTGGCTGCCCTCATGCATTACTGCTTTCTTCAGACTCAACAAAAGAATATGCACAGTCGCTTACTTCTGTTACAGTGAAACAACACTGCGATGCTGTCTCTCTCGGTCACTTAAATTCAGTTTCAAAAGACAAAATTGCCTCCATTTAGATTATTCAAAGAATGTCATACAGACTGAAATGCTAGTCTGTTGGTTTAAAAAAATGTTTTTTTATACTGGGAATTGAACCCAGACTATATTCGAATTTATAATCCTCCTGCCTTGGCTTTCCAGAGTGTTGGGATTACAGGTGTGCACCACCATGCCTGGCTTGTTTAAAAAGTATTTTATGTTCACAAGTTATGCATTTTATTTAGAAGACATTTTAAATATAATAAATTATAAAATGTAGATTACATTACCTTACAGTTTGTATGCTTGTACTTTTAAGATTACAGTGGTTACATGGGTACTTTTGGAATTTTTATGTGTTTTAAGTACAGAAAATGATTCTAAATTCTGAAATAATTTTTTGAAAATCTCACCTTATTTTACATGAATTATGATTTCATACTTTTTTTTTACAGTGAGACTCAATTAGGAGGTCTAATTACAGTACTGTGCTACTTTTTCAACCATGGAGAGGTTTGTTTTCTGGAAAATAATTTTTAAGAAGTAGAGAGGCTATATAAGAACAAGGAAATATAATCATTAAAACAATATATAATTGCATATTAATTGTGACTTGGCAATATTTGGTAAAACCTTATGCTGTAAGTTGGTATTTTAATTGTATTGTTCTAAATTTTTAAATCAGTAGAAGTTAAAATATGTGGAATATCTTGCCCCATCTTTAGTGAATACTTACATACACATATGTTCAGTAGAACGAGGGAAATATTGTACTTCTTGAGTCAGACACTTTATATTGTTGCATTTCCTCCTAGCAAACTCTGTTGGTGGTGGTTGCTATCCTCACCACACATATTCTGACACTGAATTTTACAGAGCTTAGGTTACTCACCCAAGATTCCACACACTACCTGATGAAGCCGAGGCCCCTCTCTCCCCCAGTACTGAGGACTGAACTCAGGGCCTGCACACTGAGCTGCACATCTCTAGACTGGGCTCGAACTTCCTCCTGCCTCAGCCTCCCAGAGTCCTGAGATTATAAGAGTGTGCCACCATGTGTGACTGCTTTTCTCTTTAATTATATTTCACTTTTTGTATTGTGGTAAAAGCACTTAGCATAATATATGCCCTCTTAACAGATTTACAACATTGTAATAGAATATTACTAACAAAACCTTGTGCTCAAAAATGTAAGGTGAGACTTTATGCATTTGCCAGGGTTTGAAGCCCTTGGAGTCTGACCCTGGCTATAAAGCCGAGGCTTTGCCACCCGCCACCTTGCTTCTATGTCATCATGACACAAAATGTTGAATTAAAAGTAGAGATTTACTTACTGATTCACCCCAAAGGAATATAGTCTACCGAGAACTCATAGAAACTTATGTAGGATATGATGGATTCACTGGACAAAATGTTGCATATGTACAAACCATGTGCCCTACTATTAGATGCTGAGGACATGGCAGTGAGAGAGAGAGAACCTGACTGCTACCTCTTGAAAGCAGACTATGTGCTGTGTTATGCCACAGGTTATATAGGCTCAAGTCTATGTGTTGCTAGTGGGTTAAGACTTAAATTAGTTAGATAAAGGATAATAAAAACTACATAAAATGCTTTCAATCTATTATTTTAACCTAAAGCAAACAAATAACCTTTGTATTAAATAATCTGTTGACATAAAGAAAAAGCCTTGTACTTGAGTATATTAGGCTACTGGTGGTATGAATTAACCTTTATACAACTGTAATTCATCTTCCAGGGTTTACAATTTGAGTTTCTTAGAGCAGTCACTTTTAAGACTCTTGCAGAGTATTATAACAAGATTTTAAATCCTTTCGAGAATTTTTGTTACAAAATTTTATCACACTCTGATCTGGATGTCTTAGAAACTGTCTTAAAGTGTATATGAATATTTAATACTTACATTATACATTCACATTACTTACATTATGTGCCTCCCATTAGTAATTCTCGTTACTTCCAGAGTAATGTCTTTAAGGTTTACAGTTAACTCTTTTAAAGATGTCTCGCACACATCAAAGGGGCTCTCGACTACTTGTGCCCCCTGGACTTACGTGTAATCTCTTGGTGTTTGCGAATGCCCCAGGTGACACCTGTTCAAGTATTGCTGTGGACAGGACTGGAGCTCAAGTCCCAGGATGTCTGGTCACACATATAAGGCTGGACTGTGGATCTGGCCCAGGAATCCTCACAGTCCCTGTCTCTGCCTTCTTGGTTATCACTGGGACTTGCTTGTGCTTAGTCCCATAGATCTGGCACTTGTTTTGGGCTTGGAAATTGGTCCCTCTACTCAGTGGTCCCATATGAGGAGCTCCAAGCTTTGCCTGCTTTCAAAGCAGGATCTAGTGGGCCTGGGGCTAAAGTTCCCAGGGGAAGCCAACCCCTGTGTTCGGCAAATGACGTTTGCTGTCGTGGACCTGACGTGAACCCAGACTTTCATTCGTCTCAGGCCACTCGTGTGATGTGGACGCCACCTCTCCGTGAAAGCTTTGCATATCCATTCCTGGTTCTTCAGATGTATATTGTTACGAGGATTCTCAGGTAATTTTTATTTATAAAACACAGATAAGTAAAATGAAGTTAAGTTTCTTAATATTTGCATCAACCTGTTATAATTACCTTATTTAGGCTGTGTTTTTAGTTATTTTAAAAATAAACTGAGTGTAGAGTTAAGGTAATCTAAAATTTGCTATGTAAATTTGATCTCCATTTAAGTGCTCAGGCTACAGGTTTTAGGTGACTGTATCGTAATAAATAAAAATATATGTGTTCATATATGATTTGCAATGATTCTACAGTTTTTGAAAAATAATTATTTTTTGTTCAGAGTTTGTGTACGCTGATTCATTGCTTTCCAAACTGTGTTTTGGTGGAGCATTCATATATGAGCCATGAAAAGAGTGTTCTGCATGCAAATGAATTTGGAAAATGCTGAATTAGAGACAGAGAGACAGTGAGCAAGAAAGGCAAGAGAGTGTAGATTCATTATTGAATGATACTTTTCCTAGTTCATCCAGTTTTATCTCAGTTGTTCTACTTGGACACATTTTTTGTGGAGATTAAGTTTATAAGCACTTCAGAAACTTAAGAAGTGTGAGGCTGGGAATATAGCTCAGTGGCATGAGCACCTGCCTGGCAAGCACAACATCCTGAGTTCAGTTCCTGGTGCCACGGAGGGAGGGGACAAAGAAGTGTGAGAAACAAAATAAAGTACTATAAATAACTTTATGACAGAAATAAGTTTCATGGAATGTTAATGAGATCTCACACTAACTGAAGCAGTGATCAGTGTCTTCTCCAAAATCCTACGGAACCCATCGCACTTCATTTTACTTATCCTTGGAAGATTCCACCTTCTTGGAAAATTATTTGTTTACATATCTTTCTTGCTTCTTTTCTTTTTTCTTTCAATTGCAAATTGGTGAATCATACATAAATACGGAAATGTCTACATCTACATTTGCATATATTTAAAAGTTCTACACTGGAAACAGAGACCATGCCCTATTTATCTCTAACCACTGAGCACTCAGCACCCTCCTATGTGAACATTTGAGGTGCTCCTGTGGTAGATGATTAAAGAGAGGTAAATTCTGCATCTAGGGGAGGCCAAAACCTGTGCTACATGCCTGGCAACTTTATTTGGGGGCTGCATTTAGTTTTGGACATCTGTTCCCTGTCCAGATTTCTATGTTTGTTCAGTACATTGCCTCCTATGAATGAATATGGTAAAGAAAGTTGCTCATTGCCACCTCTCTCCCTTTATTCCCAGTTTGATTAAAGGAAGATGGTTTTTTAGATTGATTGATTAATTGATTGACTGATTGACTGACTGAGGTAACGTCAGTTTGGGTGGGCAAAGGTTTCATAGAATTCAGCATGCAACTTGGAACATTTAGGATTATATCCTTGAGGGCGCATGCTATACTCTTCACCTGAGCCAAAAGTAACTTTTGTTTGCTCAAAAACAAGATTAGCAAGTGCTTAATGTGTATTTTGTGATAATATTACTAAGCAATATAAATATTTAAAATTTTGCTTTTGAAAAGTTATCTATGAAAAAAAGTTATTTATGAAAAACTCAATACAACCTTTATAAAAACAACAGTTGCTGTTTTATTTACACGAAAACACTTGCATTTCTTTTTTCACCTTCTAAAAGATCCTAAGCTCCTCTATGATAAGAGGTGTTGGTTACTACATATTGTAGTACTGCAAAATGGACAATTTAAACTTCAACTGCAGTAATTCGGCCCTATTCCAGAGTTAGCTTTTAATTTGTTATCTTCAAATTTTTTCCTTAAATTTTTCCATAGTTTGTAACTTATTTCTTCACCAACACCTATACTTTTCCTCACTGTTTTCTGAAACATAAAAGTGATATGTGAAGACTGTAGCTATAAGGGATAAACATCTGCAGGCATGCAGGGCATGGTCCCATTCTATTTTCTTCTGACCTTCTGCTGGTGTATGTAATTTTGAAAGCCATGCATATTTACAGGGAAATAGACTTTTGTAGAGTTTTAAGTTTCTATAGTAACCTCTGCATTGATTGTTTAGGACTGTCATATTTAAAGTATTTTATTTAATAATAAATTATACATTGTTATTTCTGAAATGCTAGGTGTTGTTTTATAAAATAAACTGACTTTTAAGGTTAACTATACTATGTTGTATTATATCACAGGTAAGAGGATCATTTAAGTTTTGTTATTTTGCAAGTAGTCTTTTTTTTTAGCAAGTGGCTGTCTTCATGGCAAAAGTTACTGATCCCACTTCTCTCTGCTAAGGACCTCCAACAATTACAGAAGACATTACATTGCCCTCTGTCTTGCCAATGTTGCTTTTATGCTTCCCTGGCAGTTTTCTCAGTTTATACTTTTCACACAGGTAAGATGATTTTAAACGAATGTAAGTTGAATGCAACATGTTCTTGGGATTTTCATAAAAGTTTTAAAATGTGTTTATACTTATGCACTAAAAGATTTTTCAAAATATGGAACAATTATAAAGGTTATATATATGTGATTTTAAAAATATAATTCTGTATCCTTTAGTGTATTGGTTACTAATATTAATGATTAACACATAAAGGATTTTTTTCTATTATTTTTATTCACAAATATTCCTGTTGGAGGATGAGATGACATCCGTGTATCTATTTTCCTGTAAATTTTCTTTTCTGGGTGCCCAGCCGCACCAACTGCTAAGGCTAGTCCTGCTCTTCATAGTCAGGGTTTCTGATCTGGTCCAGCTAAATGTTGGCCATTTTGTCTGAAGAACAGAATTTTACCTGGAACCGTGTCTCAGAGCTATAATCACGATATTGCTTACATGATTACATGGAATTAAATCCATATTTTGCTTCTAAAACAATTAAATAACTAATGGTAATAAACCTCATAAAAGTCAGGAAGCAGAGAGCAAAAAGACAAGGTTGATGAAATTTTATGATACTGAGATTTTCCACTAAGGCCAACAAGTCCTAACACTGATAATGTTAATAATATTCTGCATTGGAAGTGAGAAATTCTGCCAGGAGGCCTCACGCTGCCAGTTATCACAAAGAATGAGATTATAGCCTCAACTTAATTAGCACTGCATGTTTAGAGAATATCCACGCTATTTCTACTGTGTTACGACCTTTTAGTTGACCCCTTTCAGGTTGCAACACGAAAATGACTGTGGTTATCATTATTTGAACATGCTAACATAGAATATATTTTCAATAAATATCACTTCATTGCAAGCCAATTTATTAATCCAGTGTGCTGATGAAGCTATGGGATGTGATAAAAATGTGATGAATGTTTAATTTTTTAAAAATTTATTTTGCCGATAATCACCCCTCACAGTTTTCCCCTTGACTTGGAGCATAATCTATCCAGTCATTCTTGCCACTTTCTGAAGCAGTTCGAAAGTCTCTTTCATGAGTATCTTCAGTTGTGCTGTCATGGCCGCCTCCCTAGCCTGCATTGATTCAAAATGCTTACCTTTCACTGTCATTTGAAATTGCACAGTGCCAGATCCAGGGACTATGGCAGGTGAAGCTCCGGGTTCAATCCCCAGCACCACATAAAGTAGAAATAATAATAAAGAGGACACACTGTAATATTTTTATAAGCCTGCCTTTCCTTGGATGGTACTCAGCAGCAGCATTTAGCAATTTTTAATCACATCTCATAAAGACACTCACAAAAGAGGACTTCCAGAACTGCTTCAGAAAGAGCAATGGGAAGTGTGTGAGGGGAAGGAAGGACTATGGGGGGGGGCAGTTAATGGCAATGTGTTTTTTACTGTGATAATTTTTTAAAAAAAATTTAAACATACACCATATGTTTTGGTCACCTCTTTTAAGTAAGTCTTCTGGGCAAGTTTGATGTTACCTTAGTGATTTTCTATTCACTCAAATGTAGGTATAGAGGCTTTTATTTATCTTATGCATGGAATTTGTTTGTGTGTTTGTCTTTTCATACTCATGGGATAATTCAAAGTTATTTTTCTTGGAATATTCTAAGATTTTATCCTTGATTGAATTTTTCATAGATTAAGGTTAAAATTCTGTAATATATTCTGACCATAAGAGAAATGTGGGCTAAGGACACTCAAATGAGGGCTTTGAGATTTAATGTAAAGCTACGGTAATTAAGAGAGTGTGGAATTGAAGAAAAAAACAGTTGAAGTGATCACTGGTACAAAACAGAAAGCCTGAAAATAAACCCAGAGAAACTGTAAGGAGAAAAGATTGGTGACATCTTAAAAAGAAAAAAAAAAAGTGTTATCTTTCCAAAGTTTTACCTTTCTGTCTTACTTGTGAAGTCTGTGTCTAGAGTCTTCTTTGTTCTTGACTGTGAATGTCCAGGGGTTCCCACACCACTTGTCGGAGACCATTCTTCTCCACTGAGTTGCCTTTGCTCCTTGGCCAGGGCTCAGCTGTGTTTTTCTGGGTTTACTTCCAGATTGTTTGGTACCACTGATCACTTTGACTGTTTTTTCTTTAAGTCCACACTCTCTTGATTACTGTAGCTTTACACTAAATCTCAAAGTCTCTTGGTGTTTAGTTGTTTTTAAGCATCTTCTCTGTGCCTTTGGTTTTGTGCAGATTTTACTACGATAATTCCTGTGTGGTCAGGTTTTGCTTTTTTCCTACTTTCTTCCTCCTTGACAGTTTCTAGTGCTTCCCAAGTCAGTACTTGATCTTGCCTATCAATTTTCTGAAGTTTTCACCTATATCCCTTTAAATATAGCTTCTACCTAGTTGTCTCTTCTCTTCCTGGAATGTAAAGTATAACAGAATTGATCTCACACTATGTACTGTATAGCTCTTATTTTCCTTCAGATATTTTCACCTTTCTATCATTTTGTACTTCCTTTCAGATACTTTTTTCTGACCTGTCTTCTAGTTCAGCACTTCTTTTGTTCTTATTCTGCTTTTAAACTCATCTTGATTTCTTAACATTATTGTAATATTTACTTGTAATATTTCCACTTGTTTCTTTTTCCAACATGGTCCTGGAATTTTCAGTCCTATGTATTATTCCTTGGACATGTCAAACACCGATTACATGCATATCTGATGGTGTCAGGCATGTTTTTGAGTGGTCTGCAAACAAATGTTGGTTTCTGTATTTCTAAAGAGTTGTAAAAAGAGAAAAATGGAAAAAGATATATAACAGGAGCTGTATGTGGAGCACACAGCATAACATCCTTAGTCTCTGGTGTTTTACAGAATGAGCTTGCTAACCCCAGATCTGGGTCTCTTGTAGATCTGTTTCTGTAGTCTCAGTGATAATGTCTGTCTCCTCCGCTCAATCTTACCTCCTTTCCACAGAGTCTTACCTCTCCTCTCAAAATAGCTCAGTAGTTTGCTTAGTTATTTTTGAAGTAGTGTAGAGTTAAAGACTAAGTTGATGCTGGCGTTCCCCAGAGAAGATTAAATTTGCTTCCAACAGGCAAATAAAGGCACTAAGGGTCTTGAATTATATTTGCACAATGAGATTAAGATGACTCAGAGGTGGGGTTCAGCTTTTCTGAAGGTGGGGTTCAGCCTTTTTGAGGGGTAACCAGTTTTCTGGTTCACTCATATGGGCCTTTGATGCCCCAAACCAAGGCCTGGGTACTTACCAGGCACCCCCTGCTTGGCATGGCCTGGCCACCCAATCTGTTGAAATGCCTGCTGAGCCTGCAGATCTCTCGATGCTCTCAACTTGCCTGTATTGGAACCTGCAGATACTTCTGGGAGAAAAATTGTCCAAAATGCTTGGTCATCTGGATAGAGTCCCACCTTTTCCCTGGTTTTACCTTGCCAATTTCTCACTTGCCTTGTTAATAATCTGTAGCTTTTGCATAAATATTTGTTCATATATACTATATATGTATATATTTGTTTATATGTTTTGTTATAT